TTATATTCTACATGAGTTCCCATGTTTTTAGATGTGGTCCATACCCACTGTGGTACAGCTATTAATTTTCACTTGGTGGGAAACTATCTTTCTTTCTGAACATTTTAAAATCAAGTAAAATTTGCTTCTCTTTAGACTTCTCAACTCATTAATACAGGTTGTACATCCCTAACCTGAAATTCTGAAATCTGAAATGCTCCAAAACCCTAAACTTTTTTAGCATCATGTCAGCGCTCCAAGTTTCAGATTTTAGATCAGGGATGCTCAATCCATAAAGCCTATGCAAACATTCTAAAATCTGAAAGACTCCAAACTGTGAAACCCTTTCTGGTCCCAAGCAATCAAAATACACTAAGACAGACACACACTGAGCACCTGCTGTGCAATAAGAAATCAATAGTTCCCACCCTCAAAGTGGCACAGCAGGAGACTGAGCCTAAAATGTTCACACAGCCCAATGAGGTACACATCAATGCTGCCTGCTCCCTCACTTCATGCAGGGTTCTTACCAAATATCACCTCCTCAGAGAAGCCTTTCCTGACGACTTATCTAGTTACCCTCTTCTACCACATCTTGTCATCTGATCCACTTATTTTTTTCTTCACAGCAATTATCACCACCTGATATTATACTTGCTAATCACTGTCACGTAAACTCCATGATGGCAGGGACTTTTGCCAAATTTATCACTGAACCTTCAGAAGAGTGAAGAATGCTGGATTCACAGCAGGTGATCTATAGGCATTTGTGGAAGGAATGAATGGTAGAGGTATGCATGTGATGCTACCTGAGCACAGAAAATGGGGTAAATTCAGTTTTGGCTGGTTCCAGAGAAGGTGCCAGGAAGCTCCAGAACATCCTTATCTTTAACTCCCCAAGTTTTCCTCCAGAAATAATTTTTTTTTTGAGAGAGAGAGAGAGAGAGAGAAGTTTTTTTTTTTTTTTTTTTTAGTTATTGGCGGACACATCATCTTTGTTTATATGTGGTGCTGAGGATCGAACGCGGGCCGCACGCATGCCAGGCGAGCGCGTAGCTACCGCTTGAGCCACATCCCCAGCCTCAGAAATAATTTTTAATTGGTTCCTTTTAGTATACATAACATTAGGATTCATGACAGAATTATAAAAGCATGGAATATAATTTGCTCTAATTCAACCCCTAGTATTTCCCCCATCCCTCCTCTTCTCCCTCCCCTCTACTTTATAAATTTCTGCTATTTACTTTTAGGTTTTTTTTTTTAATAGTGGCTTGTGGATGAATAAACATGATGGTGAGATTCACTGTGGTATATTCATATTATGTACATTGGAAAGTTAGATCAGATATTCATTCCACTGTTCTTTCTGTAAAATTTTTTAATTTTGCTTTCATTTTTTCAATACTTATTTTTTAATTATAGGTGGACACAATATCTTTTTTTATTTTTATGTGGTGCCGAGGATCGAACCCAGTACCTCATGCATGCTAGGTGAGCACTCTACCTCTGAGCCACAACCCCAGCCCTCATTCTGCTGTTCTTCCCTTGCCTTATCCCTCTCCCTCTCCCTCTCCCTCCCCGAGTCTCCTTCATATAGTCCACCCATCTTTCTTCTATTTGATGGAATCCCCCCACTTTTCCCCTTCTCTTTCCCCACTTATTTTGGACTAGCTTCCGCATAGCAGAAAAAATATTTGACCTTTGCTTATTTTTCTTAGCACATAGTCTCCAGTTCCATCCATTTACCAGCAAATGCCAAAATTGCATTCTTATTTTCTTAAAATATTTTTTTAGTTATAGATGAACATAATACCTTTATTTTATATATTTATTTTTATGTGGAGCTGAGGATCGAACCCAGTGCCTCACACAGGCTAGGCAAGCGCTCTACCACTGAGCCACAAACCCAGCCCCATAAGCGCATTCTTTATGGTTGAGTAATACTCCACTGTGTCTTTATCCATTTATCTGTTGAAGGGTACCTTTGTTGATTATGTAAATTCCTAAAAAGCCTTTGAATCTTAGAGTATTATGAGTCCAGGTAATTAATGTCTACATATATTGCTAGCTTAGTCAATGTTTTTTTTTTCAGATTAAAAAGCAGCCGAGAGAAAATACTCTTAGAGACATATAATATATGTAAATTCCAGACGTTATCTGTGCTCTAAGACTCAGAAAACTGAGCTCACTAGGCTGATGCCTTATCCACATACTGCTGATGTTCACTATTTATGGTTTCTTTTTTAAAAAAAAAAAATTTGTAGTTGTAGATGAACAGAATTTGTTTCCTTTTGTGTGGTGCTAAGGATAGAATCCAGAGCCTCGAACATGCTAGGCAAGCACTCTGCCACTGAGCCATACCCCCAGCCTACAAAGTTTCCTTTAAAAGAAGAGCCTGAGACCTCAAAAGCCCTTCTCACTCTCACTCTCAAGACAGCCTGCATTCTCCGCACCCTGAATGTGTATTCCTTGGTTTCCTAAATAAATCTGTGCCTCTTTTGATACATCCTAAAATTCTTTTCTCCAGAGTAAGTCAAGAACCTGGCAGGGTCTAGTTGATCCCCTTCTCCTTTTTGGGGGACCTCCTCAGATCCCTATCCAACGACAAGCTGAGTCACAAGTCCTGAGCCAGATAGTCCTTTGGATTGGGGTCTGATCTGCACATTACTATATACATGGCTCCCTCTCACCTTGCTTCCTTAAATTAGAGACTATTTTCATTCATTTTTTGATTCTCTGAGGCACTTGACACAGTAACTTGCATTCATTTATCCTGAAAATATTTAAAGCACCTACCATGTGCCTATTACTGTTTTTTTTAAATTTTTATTAGTTGTTGATAGACCTTTATTTTATTTATTTATATGCAGTGCTGAACATCAAACCCAGCACCTCACACATGCTAGGCAAGTGTGCTACCACTGAGCCACAGGCCCAGGCCCCCTATTACTGTTTTAAAAGAGTGGGAATAATTTTTTTTTCTCTAAATTGAACATATAAAAATGGTATGGGATTTTATTCAAGTGTCTGATCAAACAAGTATTTTATAAAATTCCTATGACTTGGGGCTGGGACTGCAGCTCAGTGGTAGAGCACCTGCTTCACATGTGTCAGGTATGGGGTTCGATCCTCAGCACCACATTAAAAAATAATAATAAAAAATAAAGATATTGTGTCCATCTACAACTAAAAAAGTTTTTAAAAAAATTAAAAATTCAGATGATTTGTCTTTTAAAATATTAAATAGTTCTAGAAACATAATTTTTTCAAGATGTTCAACTTCCAAGAAACAGCATAGAGCCAGTTGTGACCTTGCTTCCTACTAGAGCATAACTCCCATCTCTGTAGAATGCAATAACTTACTTGATTATTTTAATGAAATTTATAATAATAATGATGAAACTTGCAAGTTATTTTCTGTATAGGAACCATGACTCAATATCTAGGATAAGAGACTAAAACCTGGAAAAACTCCAGTATGAACTAGGCTTTTCTATTAATATAAATATCCCAAGACGGGGCTGGGGATGTGGCTCAAGCGGTAGTGCGCTCGCCTGGCATGCGTGGGGCCCAGGTTCTATCCTCAGCACCACATACAAACAAAGATGTTGTGTCCACCGAAAACTAAAATAAATAAATAAATAAATAAATATTTTAAAAATAAATAAATATCCCAAGTTAACACAAGCATAGTGATTTGTGGATAAGAGCCAAGAAGGCTAAGAAATAAGACAAGCAAAACTAGCATAGAAAGGACACTGTGAACTAAACAATGAAAATTTAAAAAACAACCTATTAATTCAGAGATGTGTTATGGAAGGATATTAGTAGTCTATAAAAATCATAGTAGGGGCTAGGGCTGTGGATCAGTGGTACAGCACTTGCCTCGCATGTATGAGGCACTTTGATACCCAGCACCGTATATAAATAAATAAATAAATAAAAGTTTTTAAAAATCATAGTAATCTGAGAAAACTAATAATCGTGAAAACTCTGTTAGAAAGCAACACATTAAAAAGAAGAGCTGACGTCACCTTGAAATATTTTAAACAAATCCTAAGTGTTCATGAAATTTGTGTTTTATCCTTCATTCTCTGAGTCAAACGGATGTACTAAACAAGGTCTACATTATCTTCCATATATACAAACTTTCCTAACCAAGCATGGTGGTGCACACCTGTAACCCAAGCAACTTGGGAGGCTGAGGCAGAGGTTTGCAAGTTCAAGGCCAGCAACTTAGAGAGACCCTGTCTCAAAATAAAAATAAAAAGGACTGGAGATATAGCTCAGTGATACAGTGCCCCTGGGTTCAATTCCTAGTACCAAAACAAAACAAAACAAAAACAAAAACCACCACTACCACCAAAAAAAAAAAATCAAAAAACAAAACTTTCCTCTTTTCCCAAATTAAATCACATTTCTCTTTCTCTCACACTATTACTAAAGATGTTTCCATTGTACTACTGAAATGAATTATTTGATGAGTCGTTCTTGTTAGTTGGTAAAATACTTCAAAGACTTAAAACAGTGGTGACAGATATAAATTTTTCATTTACATATTTTCACTGGTGAGTTTACCAAATTTCTAATAAAAATTCATGGCTGACAAGTTATTGTTGATGTTAAGTAGACAATAAGATGGGAAAGGCAGAGGAAGGCAAGCAGGTACCCACGCACAATGCAATCACTTCAATCCAGATGCAATCAAAAAAGAAAAGAATGACCAGTAAACAGAATGGATTTTAACGCTGTAAGGAGAAAATGTTGACTATTTCATTTTGGCAAATAAGAGTCCTGTATTTATTTACCAAGCAACAAATCCCTTAATGGTACACCATTTAACCAGAAGATAAATGGAGTCAAGGCAGATAGTTCAAAGGCTAGCATTTCTCTTGCTTACTCTTTCTGGCTGGCCATGCCTCATAAGGGAACAGGAGCTATAATGTTAGATAGCACCAAACCCCACTCAAATGGTTCTAAGTCATCAATCAGACTGTCTGGCAAAGGGGAGAGATGCTTACTTGGATAACACAGGAGAAGATGATCTCTTAGGAAGGCCTGCGGGAAGCTCGCATCTTCTCAGTGGGGACCCGAGGCCCCCGGCAGGGATGGAAGTTGTCGCTCGCTGTCCCCTCTTCACCTTCTCCACCTATAAGGACAGAGAGTAAGATAGCTACAGCTCATGGCTGGTACTACTTCTACAATTTCTGAAAATATCTCAAATGGAAGTAACATAGTTTTCTTTAAGAGGGATCTGTACAAAGCTATAATGTAATAGGACAGAATAGGAATCTTTGCAGAGAGGTACCACAAGGTCATCACACTTAGGTCATCCAGTGAAAAGAATAATAGCTTTCAGTCTCAACATGCAGATTTCCCTCTTCTTGTTTTTACCAAGAACTAACAACAGAAGCATATTATGGTCCTGGACATACAGGAACTGGGAAAGAGTATAAAGAGATGATGTTTACTAAGAAAAAAATTACAGGTGAATAAGAATGTAGTTATAACATTCAAGAAAGTGAGCTACAGACCCCAAGAGCATACATGGTATAATGGAGAATGCAACACATCCATTCTTCTGTAGTTTCTCTTTCATCCCTTTCAGCAGAATGGAGAAAGAAATGGATATCAGTGCCCAGCCAGCAGAAAATGCTCCATAAGGATTAGTCCCTTTCTCTCCCTATTATATTTTTCTGTAACAAGTTCTCACTTGGCCCTGACATCCACAAATGTTAGCCCCCTTCCACAATAATCCATCCTACAGCAAATCTAAAAATTGGAAACATTCACTTCTTTTTTAAGACTCTCAGGGCCGTGCTGGGGATAGAGTTCAGTTGGTAGAATGCCTGCCATGCATACACAAGGCCCTTGGTTCAATCCCCAGCACCACATCAAAAAAAAAAAAAAAAGCAGCAGCAGCAGCTGCTCATGGTTTCAGTCAAGTTGTTGCCCTGGATTAAAATGGAAGGACATGATTCTGCTTCCTATACTCATTGCATTCTCTTTGGTTTCTGCATCATTTCTGCCCTGTTGTGCGCTGGCATGATACCCATAAGTAGATCTACTGCTCTAATAAGTATTTTGATGATCACTACAAGTACCAGCATGTCATGTTACCCACAGAACTTTCCAAAGGTACCCAAAACTCATTTAATGTCTGAAGAGGAGTGGAGGAGACTTGGTGTCCAACAGAGTCTAGGCTGGGCCCATTACATGATTCATGAACCAGAGCCACATATTTTTCTTTTTAGATGACCTCTTCTAGTATTCAGTGACTACTTGAAAAATGTACAATCATTCATCCATATCTGTGCATGAGCTACATTCTTCACAGCAACAGAACTCAATTAAATACCACTGCCTTTATGTTATTGCAAGGTATTTAAGATAAAATTTCTTCTAAGTCACTTTTTCTTTTCTTTGGGTAGAGGGCTACCAGGGATTGAACTCAGGGGCACTCAACCACTGAGCCATATCCCCAGCCGTATATTGTATTTTATTTGGAGACGGGGTCTCACTGAGTTGCTTAGCACTTCCCTGTTGCTAAGGCTGGCTTTTAACTGATGATCCTCCTGCCTCAGCCTCCTGGGCTGCTGGGATTACAGGCGTGCACCACCATACCTGGCTCACTTTTTCTCGTGATAGAAGTGCCTGTTTGACATTACCTGTTACTTTTGTTAAATAAAGTTTGTATATTGCAATTTTTAAAAAAAGAATCCCAGGGCCACAATAAATTTGAAATGAAAATATGTTATTATAAAATGCCCAACAAAGTTGGGAATATAGCTCACTGGTAGAGTGCCTGCCTAGCATGGATGAGGCCCTGGGTTCCATACTTTGCAGTGCAAAAAAATAAAAATAGTATGTCAAATAGTGAGTATGTGGTGGTTTTAGCATAAGTCCACACATTATTTGATACTCCTTCAAATAATGGAGGAGGTGAAGTTTAATTCCCCTCCCCTTGAGTTTGGGTTGCTCTTCGTGACTTGCTGTTCTGCCATAGACTGTTGGCAGAAGTCTATGGCAGAAGTGACAAGTTGAACATAAAAGGCACTAACTACAGCTTCCCTCTTTTGCACTTTCTCTCTTAGATCACTTGCTCTGGGAGAAGCCAGACACCATGTCATTTGGACACTTAAGCAGCTTTATGGAGAGGCCCAGGCAGTGAGGAACTGAGTCCTCCTTCCTGTGGCCACGTTATGACCATCTCAGAAGAGATCCAGTCAAGGTCAGGTGCAATGATGCATGCCTATAATCTCAACAACTCTGGAGACTGAGGTAGGAGGATCACAAAATTAAGGCCAACCTTGGCAATTTAGGAAAACCCTTTCTCAGAATAAAAAATAAAAAGGGGTGGGGGGGATACAAAGAGGCCCAGCCAAGCTCTCAGAGGATGCAGTCCTGGCTAGCATCTTACTACTCTTAATTGAGAGTACCAGAAGCACTCTCAATTACTGATCCAAAGAACCCATGAGATAAGAAATATCTGTTATTTTAAGTTGCCAAGGTTTGGAGTAATGTGCTATATATAGCAAATGATAATCTAAGTAGTATTATATATATAATTTTTAAATAAGTACACAAAATTGGGAGTACCTGATCAACATTTACTTTACTGATGGTGTCAGCATGACCTCAAAAATATTTTAAAAATATTTAAAGGCTACTTCCCCAAGGTGAAGGCTGACCTAAAGCCTCAGTTCTAATTATCTGTAGAGGTAAGACCAGTCCAGAATCCCATATTCTCAAAGAAGAATTCACTTGCAATACTCCTTCGGATTCCTGTCCTTTGGAGGGCAAGCTATAACATAGATGTCATTAGGAATTTGCAACAAGGCACTAAGATTTAGGAGAATGCTAAAAGTTAAACAATTTTCAAAGCCTGGATAAAATTTTAAACCAAATCTACTCCTTGAGCAGTCCCTAGAGACCAACAGAAACAGAGAGCCCAGGTCAAGTGAAGGAAATAATCACACTGTCAGATAAACCACATTCTAGAAGGATGAAGGAGTGAGTGGGTTTAAACCTACCGGAGAGGCCTCTGCTCCTGCCGGGGCTCCTTTCCCAGCATCTCCTGCACCAGATGTAGCTGTAGCCTTCTTCCTCTCAGTGGTTCGGGTAGGAGAAGACTTGTACGAAGATTTAAGAGGGCCAACAGGAGCTACACGAGGACAGGCATGGAATACTAGAGAGTTACAGTATAACAGCCAGAAAGACAAGGAATACAGATGGAAAAAGCAGGAAGAGAGGAAGTTGGGAGGAATACCATATGTCTATTAAAATGTAACATGGGCAATTCATTCTTGAAATATGAAACTTTTCCTATTGTTCACAGAATGGATCCCACCTTTAAAAGGCTCACAGACTAAAGAGTCAAGTTAATTTTAGGCAAATAACAATCTGCACTTTGGAGATAGCTAGACTTCACACTGAATCACCTTGGGCAGGCCACTCAACCTCTCTAAATCTCAGTTTCCTTATGCAGGAAGAATTAACATAGCAGGACTGACTGCTGTCTTTGGAAGGGCCTACTTACAAGGTTGGCCTTGGCCAGCATCTAGGAACTCAGATTTCGGGAAGGTCCCTGCCATTAATAAGTACCTAGGTTGTTTATATAAATAATATATTCTGGATGTTTGTAACTTGGGTACGTGCCTAGCAGGGGGTGCCTGCATGACCAGCTCCCAGTAAAAGCCCTGAGCACTGAATCTCGAAAGAATTCCCTCAGTTGGAAAAATTTTAAATGAGTTGTCACAACTCATTACTGGGGGAATTAAGCATATCCTGTGTGACTCTACTAGGAGAGGAGCCTTGGAAACTTGTACCTGGTTTGCTCTGGACTCCTCCCCATGTACCACTTCCCTTTGCTAATTTCACTGTGTATCCTGCCATAATTAGTTTAACCAAGTGTAACTATGCTGAGTCTTCTGAGTTCTCTGGTGAATCATCAAACCATGGGGTGGTCTCAAGAATCACAACTGGTGTCACATTGTGAATCACTACAGTGACCCTGATTAACTAGGACAAAGGGGCAAAGAATGATGAATCTGGTGCCTGGGTAACTATGGAGTCATTCATGTACAGAACAGAAGCCAAGTTGCCTATGGAATTTGAAAGTGACCATTATAACTCCAAGAGAGTTGGCTCAATGGATCCCCTGGCTGTTTCTGGTTGTGCTAACCAAAGTGAGGGGGGTAAAGTGCAGCCCAGATAATGCCTTTAGTTTTTATTTTCTCCTCCAAGTAGAATTTGGAAACAACTTTCTTGCATTTATCATCAGTGGGTTGTTGGAACTTAAACTCTGGGTATAGTGGAATCAGAACACAGAGCTCCATATTGTAATTTTTGATTAATTTCCAAACAAAGGGATACTCTGGCATTTTAAAACTCAATTAGGGACTGGTACAAATACAGAGAACCACTTCATGGAGTCCTACCCTGTGAAAACATCCTGGACACTGCTGGACCATCTGGGTTACATACAAGTGCTCATAGAACAGGGCCTGTTCTCTGAGGGACCACCCAAAATCAAGCTGCTCCTCAGTTTTATATTTCTGATACAGAGCCTAAGTGCATTTCTACCTTGTGACCCTGTAAAATCCTGTAAAAGCTACAGGTTAGGAAATACTATCAATGTGACCCTTTTATTCACCACTGAAAAACTGAACTCCATTTTCTCTAGGGATATGTGACTGCTGTTTTCTTGGGTTTGATTTTCCAAAGAAGCTATAGTTTATAACAACTGACTGAGAACCCAACTCTACTTTCCTCACCTCACCTTTCCTCAATATACCTCAGTAAAGCGATTTGTGAAATGTAGCTGTCTTAGGAAAGGGAGTGATCATTTTTAGACTGCTCACTGAATAAATGAACAGGACAAAAAGAATGGGATTTTGAAATTTTTTGAAAACTTAGGATTTTTGTCCCAACTAATACCTAAACACATTGTGTCTTTCTGATTAAGTTTGATAAAAATGTCTTTAAAAAAAAAAAAATGCTTATCTTTTCTTTGACATATCTGAGTGAGAGTAGGGGATGATTAAGAAAATGTAAAGTTTTTTTTCTTTTTGGTACTGGGGATTGAACCCAGGGGCACTTAACCACTGAGCTATATCCCCAGCACCCCACCCCCCTTTTTTGGCATTTTATTTAGACATAGGGTCTTGCTGGGATTACAGGTGTGCACCACCATGTCCAGCTAAGAAAATGTAAAGTTTTGATTCCTGAATGGGACATGAAGAAAAAACAAAACCGAGCACCCTGGGGTGGCATAGGGGACAATGTCACAAAGACATTTGTGATCTTTGTTTTCTAGAACTGATCCTGGAAGCTCTTCTTTCTACCAGAAGGAAACTTCCCGTGCTGCCTTGGTAAGTTGCTGCAAGCACCAACTGCTGAGCCTAGATGGCACATGAGAGAGGACTGGGCCAGTTCCTACACAGTCCCTGCAGAACACCTCCAGATACAGTCCACATTCACCAGGCAGAAGAACTAGTGTCACTTAGAAACAGGCTGAGATTGCAAGACTCAGGCAACCCCTTTCTAACTAACTGAATGGAATTACTTGTACTAGACCGGGGCAAGAAGAACCATGGTAGGTCACACTGTGGGCTGTCTAGCCTGGCCAACACATATTCAGCTGAAAGTGCCCTAATGTTCTCAGCTCTTTGACTCTAGACCACTTATTGTATTTCTTATAAGTGTGCTGTGACTACCCCCACATTCCTCTCTGGAAGGTATTCAGATCAAATTCAACTTACTGGTCAGAGCTGGGCTGGAGCCAGGTAAAAAAGATTCATAAGAAACCAATGAAGAAAGTGCCTGGCTGCCTAAGAGAGACTCCTCTTGTTAATGGGATTTTCTTTAACTGTTAAGTCCATGACCTTTAAAGGACACAAATGAGACCAGTATCATGGGTGGTCTCATCCTGCTGTTAGAACCTACAGGTAATTCTTCTATTAAAGACATCCTGACAATGAATCAAGGGTACAGATTGCACAGAAAAGAGTTAACATAGAAGACCTGAGTGCTGTCCTTGGAAGGGTCTGCTTACAAGACTGGCCCTTGACCAGCATCTGGGAACTTAAGATTTTAGCAGGGTTCCCTCCATTAACTGATGAGTGGCTTGCTGTGCCTAAACTGTTTGTAAAAACAATAATGGTGACACTGCTTTCATACCAGAAGCATGGATTTTAGGTATGTTCTGGTCAAGGGGTGTGTGTGGTCATTCCTCAGTAAAAACTCTTAAGAACTGAATCTCTAATAAGCTTTCCTGGTTGGCAGCATTTCATACATGTCACAACTCACTGCTGGGAAAAATGTACCCTGAGTGATTCCACTGGAGAGCACTCTGGAAACTTGCACCTTGTCTTCCCTGGGCTTTATCCCATGTACCTTTCCCCCTTTGTTAACTTTGCTGTGTATCGTTTCATTGTAATAAGTCAGAGGTGAGTGTGCCTAAATGCCGAGTCTTCTCAGCCTTCCAAGCAAATCACTGATCCTGGGGTTAATCTTAGGGACCATGAAACGTTCTTTACTCTCAAAATAGGGATACTTTTATACAGACTAAGGTTTGTTTATTTGAGATAGAATATAAAAATCCCCTTTAAAAAGTGTCCAATTCAATGGGTTTTAGAATATTTACAAGGCTATGCAACCATAACTACAGTCAAATTCCAAAACATTTTCAAGACCCCCAGAAGAAATCCTTTATCCATTAAGTGATCACTCCCCTTTCTTCCTTCCCCTAGTCCCTGAAAACTATTAGTTTACTTTCTGACTCTATGAATTTACCTATTTTGGATATTTCATATAAGTGGAATCATATGATTTATGGCCTTTTGTGATTGCTTTCTTTCACTTACCATAATATTTTCAAGGTTCATCCATCTTGTAGCATCTATCAGTATGCCATTCCTTTTTACAGCTGAGTAATAGTCTACAGATTGGAAACCGTAATTTTGTTTACCTACTCATTGTGGGACATTTGAGCTATTTCCACTTTGTAGCTACTGTGACTAATACTTCTAAGAACATTTGTTATACAAGTTTTTGTTTGAATTTTTTTTTTTAAAATTTCCTTGGCTCTATACTTAGAAGTGGAGTTGCTAAGTCATATGGTAACTATGCTTAATTTTTTGAGGAACTTCCAGGATGTCTTCCACAGCGTTGCATTATTTTATATTTCTACCTGCAATATGTGAGGGGTCCAAGTGTCTCCATACCTTTCCAATACTTGTTCCTTTTCCTTTTTAAAAGGTTTTAGCTATGGGCTGGGGTTGTGGCTTAGTGGCAGAGTGCTTGCCTTGTACATGTGAGGCACTGGGTTCGATTTTCAGCACCACATAAATAAAATAAAGATATTGTGTCCATGTATAACTAAAAAACAACAAAAAAGGTTTTAGCTATACTAGTGGGTGTGAAGTAGTATCTCACTATGATTTTGATTCGCATTTCTCTAATGACTAGTGCTCTTGAACATCCTGTCAAGTGCTCACTGGCTATCTGTGTTTCTAATTTATAGAAATAGTATCAACTATTCAGAAGCAGCTACAAATGGGTACAGGTTTATATAATTTATGTGTTATTTCACTAAATGGACTATATCTTTAGAATAAAGACCAAACCTCACATGGATATAGCATTGCTTATCTACAAAGAGAATGCCAGCTCTCATTAATCTTGACATGATGATTTGATAGAAAAAGGGCTTTGAGAGTCCAGTCCAGTGTTTGTCAGATTTTAATGTGCAGGTCAGGTGGGCCTTGAGAGTTGGCCTTCCTACAAATCTCCTAAGTGATGCTGCTACTTCTGGTCCATAGACTACCTTTTGAATAGTAAGGCTTTAAGACATTTTTGCTACCTTATTTATACCATTACTTCATTTAATCCTCATGACAACCAAAAATAACTCCATTTATTGATGTGCAAACTGAGGCTTAGAGAAGTTAATTAACTTACCCAAAATGGTAAAAGGTAGTGGTAGGGCTGGCTGTGGATCTCCAGAGACTCTTGTCTACAGGCCACTTTGCCAAACCATCTCCCAAGAAAAGTCAACTAACCTTCATAGATCATCAAGTAGATTTTTTCCCTAAAGTACATGCCCTCAGTCAAAATAACTTACCTCTGTGGCCCATAAAACAGACATAGAAACAGCAAAACACTGGTGGGTAAAAAATGTTATTAATCATTGAAGATATTTCATAAAGCCAGCAAACGGGAAGCAAAACACAAAAATTCAGGAATAAAAATCCCAGGCTGACCAACATTGCTTTGGACATTTTTCTCTATGTCACCATCTTGGCCTCTTTTACCTGAGTCATTGGCCTGCTCAGAGAGCATGAGTGCACTTCTGCTTCTGGCTAAAGAAGCCTGTGTGGGTGTCAACAGTCGCATAACAAGAAAGTTTTCCATGGGACTAAGGTGCATGCGATGATGAGCTGAGGGATGGAATCAAATGAAAAATTTAAAAACCAAATTAAAATAAAACAAAATAGAATGTTTAAATGACAGTGCATGATGTGAATTAAATTTTAAGTGGCAGAACAAACATGGGAAATAAAAATATTCTAACAATGAATGGCTTTGGAGTTCTTCACAGTAAAATCAAACAAATGATGCATCATTTAGAGTTTGGGAGAGTGCATTAATTCTCTTGGGACATCAGAATTCATACAACACATTATTATATTACAGTGATCTGCATAACTCAGAGAATTAGCCCACCTCCCAAGATGTTCATATGAACTCTTACTCATCACGTAGATCTAACATCAAAAAAAAAAAAATTACACCTACAAAACACTTGATTTAGGTCCTCTGTTAAGAAATAGTTCATAACACACTGATTTTTAAAATGAAATGTTATCCTATAATAGTAAAAAAATAAATCCTTTCATACTTTTTCCATGTAAATAAGGGCAAAAAGTAAACAAGAAGCACAAAAATATTAATGGCCAACTGATTAACAGCTTTACTCGAAGAAAACAGGACTCATAATCCAAAGATCAATGACCAAAATATTTTGATGGTTTTAGAATACATTATATGGCAACAGCTACAAAGAATTACTTTGTGTTCTTTGGATGCCTATCAACTAGTAAATTTAGGGGGGGATTAAAATTTCTCAATTTATAATCCACAAGCTGATAATTCAGTTGTCAATAATAAACTTATGTTTATATGTTAATACGAAAATGAATTTAATATAATATGTAAGAATATGAACTAATGAAAACATGGAATACACTAATGGAACAGCTGTACAGAATTAAGTATAGGTGTGCTCTCATTCAACTTTTAATTCCTTCAATGCTCCTAGTGCTTACCCATGAATTGCATCAGAAATCAGCAAGATTCTGATACTCACAGGGATTCTGATACACGTGCTATGCCTCTGGGATACAAGGGCCATGGTCAATGCCAGTGAACAACTACGAAGGCACACCGGCCTCTTCCAAGTCACAAACATCCTCCTGTTTACCCCTTGGTAATGACTTGACATGATAAATACTCCACTGGCACCTGATATTCCTTCAATGACGCTTTAAAATATACATTTAACATGTGGAGAGCCCTCCATTCCTTAACCTACATATTTTGAAAGGTATAAACTCAGGCTTCCAATGACTCATCTGAACCTCCATTAGAACAGGGACAGTGTCAAATCTATTCAGATTCTGGAACTGGCACATGTCCTATACACATCTCCCTGTTCAAAACTGTGCCTGTAAAGTCCCATCCATCCTTTTTCTCTTTTAGAGGCTTTATATTACTCTATGCTTCTGTTTTCATCTAAAATATAGACAGGTCTACAACCATGGATGACTGCAGAGCTCCATCTTTTCACATAGCAAGTCTCCCAGCTAACTGACTCATTAATTATGCTCTTTCTGGCTAATCAACCACATTCCATCACTGACAGACAGGTACTTTTTAAACTCCTACATAAAATGTGGAGTCTTTCAGACTGGGAGTGTATCAATTCCTATCCCTACTCAACAATCACCTGGCTCTAAGAAGCAATGTCACTTTCCAAAGTTTTATTAGCAAGGTCCTGAGGCTCCCACATTCAAACCAAGAGACTAGGATGATGGTGATATTTGCAGAAGACTCAGAGGGGGCTCTCACAAAGACCAATGTTAAGATGCTCACACCACAAAGAAGCAAACTGGAGAGACCATGTCTACATGTGCACTTGCCTCGGTCTGGGGAATAGGATATTGCCACGGTGGATGAAGACAGGCGTTTACTCATGGGAGGCTCCATCTGCTTTGGCAAATTCATGGTTGATGTAGAAAGTTTGTCACATGCTGCAGAGAAACGCATTAAAGACATTGATATTCACGCCACTATAGACTGAGAAACACATATCCCAAAGTGTCCTTCTTGTCCTCATCCACACATCTACGCCACAGTGGCACAGCACAACTCTGCTTGCTTCTATCATCCTGGGATCTCATTATCCTGATCTGGAAATGCCCAGGCTACATCAGCCAAGAAATTGTATACAATTTCTTCAGTTCTTCTCTTCATTTTCAAATGTTCAACCTCACTCAAATGTTCAACTAAAGCCACGTTAATCCAAAATCATTTTCTTGCATCCAGGGATTTTTAAATATATTCACATCACACGAAAACAAAACCAACCTGGACCAGAGACAAATCACTGCTGGAAATGTTCTATGGTCTGATTGAGACTAGTACTGAAACTGAAATTTTCCTAAAGGTTACCTGTGGCTCAGGTTAAAAAAAGATGTAATTTGTAACTCAGGCTCTGTATTTAAAGCAGAATGCCCTTTAGTAGTTGGTTTTCTTCCTCTTGTTAAAAGATGGAGTCAAAATGGCTCTTTTGGGACTGGAGTTGTGGCTCAGTGGTAGAGAGCTTGCCTAGCATGTGTGATGCACTGGGTTTGATTCTTAACACTGCATATAAATAAATACAATAAAGTTTAAAAAATGGCTCTTTTGTAGATGCTTTATTAGTTTAAGGTTAGTATTTTAACACATAACCCTAAGTTTGGTGTTCTCATGTTTCAGTCATTTCAGACAGGTTTCAAAATTAAATCATTACAACCAACAAAGAGGTTCTAACAGTGCCCTGCCAACCTATATTGGAGCCTGAGGTGAAAGGAAAAATTTGTGCCCATGGCTATAAAGGACACAAACTCATCAATAATATTTTCAAAATCTAACTCCTATGTTCATCTTATTTTCAAATCAGAGAACGGTCATATCTGACAATTTATGCTGACCAAGTAATAAGTTAATTAGCTGAAATCAAAGTATAATAAATTGGGGATACATAAAATATTTAAACTTGAAGTGATATTTTGTATGTGTATTAGGGAAACTAGGAATTGAACCCAGGGGCCCTTTACCACTGAGCTACAGTCCCAGCCCTTTTTTATTTTGTGATTTTGAGACAGGGTGGCCTCAAACTTGTGACTTTCCTGCCTCAGCCTCATGAGTAGCTGGGATTAAAAGTACATACCACCATCCCTGGTGTTGTTTTAAATTTTAATACTTTTCAAATTTTAGGGTTTTAACTACTTATTTTACTTTTAACTAGTAAAATAAGTAGGTAGAGTGTATATTTTCTCTTTTGCCTCAGGCTTTGATACAGTTCAGCATCACACATTTTGAAATTCTGTTTTGTTCACTCTGGACTTTTCTGTATTAATTTTTTATTTTTAAAATATTCCATTTAAAATGTTATTTTCGGGCTGGGAATGTGGCTTAAGCATGCGTGCGGCCCGGGTTCGATCCTCAGCACCACATACAAAGATGTTATGTCCACTGAAAACTAAAAAATAAATATTAAAAATTCTCTCTCTCTCTCAAAAAAAATGTTATTTTCATTGCTGAGATTTTGGGCAGGCCCCTTTAAATTGTGTGCCCAAGTCAAGTACCACATTCATGTGATTATGACCATATTACCCTGGTCATAACCTTGGGTACTAATTCCATTCTACTTGTACCCACTTTGCGGGAAAAGCCAGTGCCCGCCCTATAGGTATTATAGCTAGGCCTGTACAGCAAAGTCCATGGTACGAGGATACTTTTTGTTAAAGGAATGCCAGAAACCAAGGATATTTATTCCTACTGGAAACACAACCTTCTGTATTATTGGTGTTGCTAACCAGAAATGGGTTGAATTTCTAATCTTTATTACATGGGAACAAGGTTTTGCTAGTTCCATTCTTAATCTAAACCACAGAATTTCCCAGGTCTGTATTCAAAATAGAAATCCTTTTGTTTATTTGTTCTTCTGGGCATCAAACCCATGGCCTCCTACATCCCAGGCAAGTGTTCTTCCACTAAGCTACGTCCCCAAAACACAGCGTTTTAGACAGAGATATGAAATGAAGCACAGAGCCAAGTTGTCTAATTCTTTGGATTCCCAGTGTTACCATTAATAAACTCTCTAGCACTCCCTCTCAGACACTTCTCCTGGTATCCACCACATTGACACCAAGCCCAAGTATTCCATTCAGAACTCTGTGATTTCTGGCTTTTCACAAGAAGTGATCCGAACGCCCTTCTACTTAATGCCTACAACAGATGATTAATGAAATTGTTAAAGACATAGATGCACAAAAATCAAATAATGACAAGATTTTTAAGGTAGAAGTGAGCTGAGGATGAAATGTCTCCAGAACACTACAATATAAGGCATGCACAGCTCCATGATGGCAGAGGAACAAAGAAAGATAAGCATATCATTCACATCTCTAGAAAAAAATTATAACAGGTCAGACTAAGAAATCAACTGTGAAAGCACTTCAGACAGACAGTAATGGAGGAGGGTGATCAGAACAATTTTCACAAAGTGCTATGGCACGATGATGCTCGGATATACCGTTGCTGGACTCGGCAGCGGTGGCAGTGGTCCCTGCGTCCGGAGGAAGAGTGCTGGCTGCTAAACCTAGAGGAGGGGGTGGGGTATTTTCTGATTCACCTACACAGCAAAAAATCAGAGCAAAGAGAGGTAAAAGAAAAAAGTCCCAATTTGTTGTTTTATTTTACTTTCTAATTAGGAAATTAGAAAAGTTAACAAATGTGTTGCTGACTTCTCAAAAAAGAAAAAAGTATATTACTGCCAAAAAGTTAAAAGCACAATACAACTAATAAACTATATTATAAACACCTTTCAGAAAGAGCTAGTAAATAACTCTGCATAACAGAATGCTGAGATCACTGAAACATAGTATGACACTGAAAAGAGGGGAAAAGTCATCCTGAGACTAGTAATAACCCATACATTAAAGTAAACATTTAAAAATTTAAAGATGGGTATGAACTGGATAATGAAATAAGTCCCCTTGAAACAAAATAAAACGAGCAACAAAAATTCATAATGTGAAAAGAAAAAGTCCAGTCCTTTTTAGAGAGTAACTCTGACTTTCCCAGTCATGTCTGAAATAGTGACTGAGTCTCCTGCCATTTCCCTTCCCTGAAATCAGATTACCCCTGGACCTGCCTGCTGAGGCCAGCTAGCCAGGCTTTGCATCCATTTTCTTTTGCTCTCCCTGAAAGCCCAGTTATTGCATCAATTGCTGTTTGCTAGCAAGAAGAATACACATCTCCCTCTCATGAGAAATGCATACACAGAAGCTTGGCAGTTTTAAACATCACACCCAAAAAGGGTGCCTGTAAAGCTGTGCACAGCATCCCCAAGATCCTGTGGACACCCAGCTCTGCCCATGATCTCCCACTGGAGCCCTGCAATGCAGGGACAGCCCTGCACTCACCATCACGTCCTCCAGGTCCTGTGGCCACTGATGTTCCCCACGAACACTTCTTCTTCAGCTCCAGCTGCTGTGTACGCTCCAGGGACCGGCGCATCATTGCCTCCAGTCGCTCCTGCCCAGTTCACACAAAGCATTGGGTGTCAACAAAGAACAAGCTCAAACACCCAGCCCCACTGCACTGCCGCCTCAGTGCTCTGGGGTGAGTCACCAAACCAGGCTTTCTGTGCTCAGCATCCTAAACCCAGGCACACATATTCTCTCTGCCACATCACACTCTCGGTGGGTGGAGAGTAAACAATGCGGCTAGGCTATCACCAGATCTCCAACTGAACACTGTGTCCTGTCCCCTCCTCACCCCTCCCTGGGGAAAAGCTGCTGCTATGCCAGCCCTTGATTTGTTTAAGAATAATGCCCAACAAGCATTAACTCCTTGAGGCCTGTCTCAAACCCAAGCTTGCACCATCCAGTAAGAGAACTGGAATTTTGCTCCAGAACCAACTGCAGTCTTTATAATTGTAAGCACAAAACATTCTGATTTGAGAAAATTTAGATTAAAATATAATCTGAGTTTCTGTAGCCTTATACATAGTTTTAAAAAGAAGAATCTATTTTTTTTTCTATATTATAACACTTTTCTGCACAGTTCAAAATTTAATGAGACAGGAGTGTAGAATCTTCTGGCCACAAAGTAAAACATCTATACATCTCCAGAGTTAGGTAGGTTTGGGCATGAGGGAAAGAAGAACTAAGCAATTTTTAACCAGAAAAGAAAATCTACCAGTAGGATTCTCTATTAACAGAGGATTTATCAAAAGCATCCTCCTATATTAACCAGACTGTTACTTTCCATAGAGTTGTCCTTGGCACTGCAGCAAAAGTATTCTTACTCTGCACCTCAATGACTCTGCAAATACCAGCTACTTTCCCTGCCACCACTGGAGAAGGTCCAAAGCAATTCTGGTCTTTATACTGACACCCATTAGCCCTCATAAAACTTAATTCCATGGAGTTCCTGGAACTGGACTACTCCTATCTGACTCCAAAACACAAAAATATGATTTTTTTACTAAAACAAGCAAGCAAAATTAAATTAGGACAGCAAAAACTGTGTAATTGACTTAAGCATTAGGAAAAGCCTCCTTTATTTCACTTACTGCAAACACATAAATGTCACTTAGGATGTGCCTGGATTTACCTCTTTTGTCTACACCAGAGGCATGAGATGAGCAGCTGGGTTCTTTACATCTCAGCTTCCTCTGTGTAATTTTTTCTCTGAATAGCATTTTGCTAAAAAACATTTGCAAATAGTCTTTTCATGGACCTGTGAGCAGAGAGGGGAATTATTTCCTCTTATATCACTCAGATTTATATTGACTATTAATTGTGTTCTAGTTTGGGACTGGGCACTGTACAATCACAAATGTACATTTCCTGGTTGCTCCATTCTCATGAACCTGGGCCGTTTAATGCTGATGACCAGCACTGGTGATCTGCCAGGTAAAAGTTGATGCTTAGAGGAAACAGAACTTCTCCACCATGATGCCTAAAATACGGGTACTTGAGCGTGAGGCTGAATGTTATTTCATTGTATGAATTTAACAAAGTATTTAGTCAATGACCTAATTTAAGTGTTGAAACCTTTCACCCTGAAGAATGAAATTAGTTTTTGGTAGATTTCCTATATATCAGAAGGAACTCATTAGACTGTCCTTCATCTACTAGGGGCTCAATGAGAATAAAAGATACTGAATTTCACAGAGCCAGTTTTACCACTGGAGCAGCTATCTAGGGGGCAGAATTATACAATAATGTTCAACTAAAGCCAAACCCATCCCTGGACTGTTCAGTTACTTTTAGAAAAACTACCCATGCCATCTACCCCAAATCCACTGAGTGACTCCAAATTCCATCAATGGAAATTAGGTCATTTGGACCTTGAGTAGGCTTATAAAAATGTAATCATCCCTGAGAAAACGAGACAATCACCTTGTATCACCAATTTTTAGAGAGAAGAGGAAAAACAGGTAGTAAACAAGTTCTAACAGACTTATGGAACCGAAAGAAGTCAGAATGGGATGATTCAAACATATATATAAAAAAACTGGTCCACTGCACTGGTTAGAAGTTAGTCCTGTGTATGGAGGTATTGCCTAGTATTTGCGTATACCTTTCTGATTCCCTTCATCTGATTTAGCAGAAAGAATACTAGATTTGGAATCAGAAGGTAAAGATTCATAGTCCACCTTTGCCTACCATTTTTTAGCCTTGTGACCTTGAGTCAATCATTTCACATCCTTGGGCTTCAATTTTCTCACCTACAGAATGAGAATGACATTACCTACTTTATCAGATTACTCTCAAGTCTACAAAGTTAACGTCTAGTCTAGTTCTTGATGTGTAAGTACTTCACCAACGCTGACTGAATCTGAATTTGAAGAGGAGGAGGACTATTAACAGAACATTTTAGAACAAGTGATTCTTAAATGTAAATATGGCTGTATCGTAATCCCCTGGAGGGCTTATTAAAACAGATTGTTGGGGTTTCTCCCCAGGGTTTCTGGGTAAGTCTGGGGTGGAGCCTGCTAAGAATCTGTATTTCTAACTAGTTATCAGGTGTTAATGGTATTGGGACCACACTGTGAGAAGAAAGGCCAAGCATGAAAAAGCAAGGGTAAATTCAGTCACATCAGGAAACCAGTATTAATAAATACTAGGAACTGCATACTGCAATTCCTGCCAAGTTTTGGTTCTCCTGGGTATCATCTGATGATCATCAGAGGATAGGGAAAGGACAAGGCAAATTTTTGTCAGCAGAATATCTTCTATTGAGTGGGGCTTATTAGAAGAAATGAACAATAAGAGGCAAAAGCCCCTTTGAGCTCTAAGCTCTAGATCTTCCTCAAAGAACTTGGAGAATCACATCCAAGGTGACCCACTGAGCTGTCCGAGCAACAGTCCTCTACCAGGACATGGCCCAAACACTACTACCCAGATAGCAATCTCTGTCAGGAGTTGGGGCTGTCAGGGGTTATGCCTTTGCCCCTACTTTTACAATATGTGTTTAGGTGATGACATTGCAGGGATAAGGCTCCAAGGTGCACAGCTAAGTCAAGTTTTTTAGGTGTGTTCAGAAATTTCTAGTTTTGGGGTAGGGGTATTGGGGATTGAATTCAGGGGTACTAAACCACTGAGCCATATCCCCAGTCCTGTTTTTAATTTATTTATTTAGAGACAGGGTCTCACTAAGTTGCTTAGTGCCTCACTTTTGCTCAGGCTGGCTTTGAACTTGCGATCCTCCTGTCTCAACATCCCGAGCCACTGGTATTATAGGTGTGCACCACCACCCCGGCCCAGAAATTTCTTATTTTACTTAGCAAGGTAGGTTTTGTTATCTATAAAGCAATGAGAGTATGAACAGTTTAGATTTGTCAAACTAACTTAAAGAGATGAAGCTACTCTTGGAAAAAAGGCCTTTCCTGGTTATCTGTTTAGCAGGAGAAATGTAGAGTTGCCTTCTCCAAATCCCATATTTCAGGGCCACTACTCAGGAAGTTATATTCCTGACTGGGTGAGAACACTGCATATCAGTCCTAACTCAGGTGAAAGTAATGTGCCTGTTCTAGCAGCTTAATTTTGGAACTGTGCAGCATGTGAACCATTGTAGGAACCCATTTTAAAGAAAAGATAGGGGGCTGGGGTTGTGGCTCAGTGGTAGAGCACTCTTCCTGAATGTGTGAGGCTCCGGGTTCAATCCTCAGCATCACATAAAAGTAAATAAAATAAAGGTATTGTGTCCATCTACAACTAAAATGAAGAAAAGATGGTCTCCAGCAAGAAAATTGAGTTCAAAGTCAGGATCTCAAGCAGATATCAGACTTTCTCTCCCTAGGACAGGCCTGGCTAGCCTCCAATACTGCCAATTCTTGAGACTTCTGGGAGTCAGGCTGATCATTCTGCATTGCAGATGAGGGACTGCCACTGCCAGAATAATTCTGTATTTGCTTCTGTGCTTTCTTGCACCCCCAATGTAGTGGTGGGGGTCCTGAGACACCATCCACTTCTGCCTTGGCATAGACATGAAGAATTACCAAGAACATCACGACAACCACAGGGATGGAAGCCAGGTCAGGGTTGGGTAGGAGTGAGTAGCTAACAGGCCTCTTTTTATCTCCTAAACATCAGACGGAGAGAGGTAGGACTTGTTGGGCAATATGTGCATTTCCCAATAGACTACAAAAGCAAAATGACCTACACAGGATGAATTATCTTCCCATTGAGCCTTTTCCTTGGTTGACAAGAGACAGAGCATGACAAAAAGAACTTAAGTCTGGCACCGAGAAAAGGACTCAACAATCTCCACAGCCAGGTACTTAGCATACAACAACTCTTACAGAGCTCTTCAAGAACCATGGGGGTGACCACAAAGGGCTTCCTTTGGATAGGGGCTTCTGCAGTGCAGTCTCATCCCCCTTCTCTGAAGATCAAGCACAAATAATGCCAAATAAGCCTCTGTATTGGTAATTACCAACACCAATGTGGTTAACTGGCCAGCCTGTATGTGAAAAGTCTCTAAGCTACACCTGGGTCTCCTGGGACCCTAAGGGTAGGAGCAGGTGGCAGAGAAAGGCTTTTGCTTCCTTGGGTTGCTACACAACCTTTTTAGGCCCAGCTCTCTGCCCAGCCCTACCATGCTCAGGGAGAACAGAAAAGGAAGCTCAGCTTGTTGTTAAGCTGACAAGAGTCAGGAACCATTCCCCACCCCCCATAACCACCACATTACGGGTGCAAGAAAGCACAGAAGCAAATGGAAAATCATCCAGAAGTGAAACCTCTGAAGATTCAGCTGCATGTGGACCAACCATCTGGCATAACATTCCCTCACAGGCAAAGAGGAGGTGTGTGAGTACTTAATGCAACTAATAGCACTAATGTTCTTTTTTAAAAAATATTTTTTAAATTGTAGTTGGACACGATATCTTTATTTATTTATTTTTTTTAGAGAGAGAGAGAGAGAGAGCGAGAATTTTTAATATTTATTTTTTAGTTCTCGGCAGACACAACATCTTTGTTTGTATGTGGTGCTGAGGATTGAACCCCTGCCGCATGCATGCCAGGCGAGCGCGCTACCGCTTGAGCCACATCCCCAGCCCATGAGCCACATCCCCAGCCCTCTTTATTTTATTTATTCATTTATTTTTTATGTGGTGTTAAAGATAGAACCCCACGCCTTGCATGTGCTAGGTGAGCACTCTACCACTGAACCATAGCCCCAGTCCCAGCACTAATGTTCTATAAAGGAAAATTAAACATAGAAATTGCCTCAAAAGTGAACCCCTGTGACACTATAGGATGTTTCAGAACACAAGAAGCATGTAACTTGACACTTTACAGTGCTCCTTCCTGGAAGCAGCAGTGACAAGCTTTCCCTTGAATCAGCAATCCCAGAGGATGTCAAAAATCAAAATGAAGAGGCTGGGGGGAAGGGGACAAGCTCTAAGTCATCAAGGAATGGAGGATGGGCAGAAAATGGGTGAGTCCAGTGACTCATGAGAAGTACAAAGGTTGAGAAAGAAGAAATTGGTCCTAAATTACTGAAACACTGTCGCTCTATGGCTTTTTTTTTTTAAATAGTATATATACTCTGTGCCATAATCTCTTCTAGGTAGCTCTCTTTTCACCTTGCTTCAGCCAAGGTCAAATGAATTAAGTGGAGAGAATCTCATTTTTCTAAGGGATTACTCTGTGCCAGGTGTTTTGCTGGACACTTTCACAAAAGTCAACTCCTTTAATTCCTATAACCATTTTTGTTTGGAGCTGAGGATACAGAATTAGAAGGGATATGTGACTTGCCCCTGGCCACCAGATGCTTAGTGGTAGAGCTGAGCAGATGAAACTACAGCAGTTAGACAGCAGTCAACAATGGTGAACCATGGCTAAGAGCATTGTTTAGATCTTTATTTGCTAAGAAGAACAAAGGAACTGGGTGCTTTGTAGGTAAAGTTAGATCTAATTGTGTGTTTGTATTCATGTTCATATGTGCTTTTTAAGTTAAAAAAAAGAGGAAGTAGTAAATATATATAGTAGAAAACAACCACTCAGAGATTTTTTTAAAAAATACTAAATTTATACAAAAGTCTTTGTATCCTACAGTTTTGGAGATTAACAAATTGCTATATTGTTCATACTAAGATATCATTATACCTTCTGAATAAAAAATGACCATCACCTGATACAAGGCTATGATTACATCCTTAATATATTCTTGTTAAGAAAATCTGTTACCCAAATATGCTTTCTAAATCCATTTCAGTTTAGAAATAAAGGACTCTGTAGGGGTAACTGCATTATATTTCTTTTTTAAAAGGTAACTGGAAAGAAAGAATGATTAAAGCAGGAACTACAGTAAAATTTAAATACACTAGCATCTTTGTATTTGAGGGTAAACTAATTTTCCAGCAGTGAATCACAGGATCATTTTGTTCTTGACCCTCAAAGCTCACACTCTGGCCTCATATCTGCCCTAGAAACACGGACAACCCTCCAGACTGTATTACCCTAACCACAATCCCCTGTGAGCCTTAACTTAGAGTCAGAAAAGGTTATGCCTGGAACAGCTCTTGGGAGACCACCAAATCCAGCCTCCTCAATGCAGAGACAAACAAATCAAGGCCCAGAGACACCAACCACTTGCCCAAAGTCATATAGCAAAGTGGCATCTGAACTGAATAGATAAGTCTGTTTACTATGCCAGTGCTTCTTCCACTGGATCACTGTGTCATCATGCTCAAAGAGCATATGGTGAGCCACTGGGAGAAGATACAGGATCAAGTCTCTCTTGTACCCCGGAGCTGGGTAGGATGTCCAGGTGCTCTCTGCACTACACTCTGTGTGAGCTGCCAAGATGGTTGGGATGAGGGACTCCTGGGGCTTTACCTCCTCCTCTCGGAGCTTCTGCTTCCTCTTCTCTTCTACAGCAGCCCTCTTTTGATCCTCCCGTTGTCGCTGCTCTTCCAGTTTCCGCCATCGCTCCTCAATTTGCTTTTCATACTGGAGCTTAGCTCTTTTCTGTTTCTCCAGTATCTGCTGCTCCCGGGCAGCTGGTGAAGGAAAGCAGAAGGTCATTTCTAGAGCACCCCATGTGGCATGAATTAAGAATAATAACACAAAAACAAGAGTGAACAGTAAAACAGTCTAGTGGGATCCTAGGATGCAGTGATGAGACTAAAGTTCCTGAGACCTCCATCACTAGCTGGGTAATCCTGGGCATGTTAACTGTTTGTGCCTCCATCTCCTCTTCTGTGAAGTGGAGATTATGGTTAGTCATGTATGCAACATCACAATATGGTGACAACTAAATGAGATAATGCACATAAAGTACACAGTAATGCCCCAACACATGGGAGCTGACTATTATTGCTATCACTAAGTCAAACTTATGCACAATGGCTAAACTGTACACTAGCTTGAAACGTGATAGCTGTAAGAGTGCATTCACTCAAATGCGTTTAACTGTGCATGTAGCAAGTAGATGCTGAGCTGGGCAAAGGGTTAAAACACATGGAAAAGATTGGCTTTCCCTCCAAGAAACTAAGGACCCTTTAACTTCACCTGGTCAAACCATGGAATGGTTCCTCAAAGTAGGCAATGCCTGAACTGTCCAGGAAGAAGCCAAGCAAGAACCTGAAAGCTCCTCTTTTGTCTCAATTGAATGGAGAAATCATCATCTACCTACTTCACAGCACCCTGTGGAGAACACCCTGTACTTATCTATCTATAGCACACAAGACAGACTTTCTCAACCAAGGCACCCTGATGTAACATCAAAAATGATTTAAGTGCCAATATCTTAGTTTTCCTGAGGATGACTCTTCTAGATGTTCAGAAAAGAAGCTGAGTGAATGCATACAGTGAATGCCTGAGGGCATAATGACTTGCTCAGAGTTCTCTTTTTTTGCCTTCATGCCCACAGCCCCAAGCACAGTGCTTAGGACACAGAAGAGGTTTAATGATTCCTAAGTGAGTGACTAAATGAACTGTTTGGAAAATTATGCAATGTTTATGAACATACCAGTCTCCATGTGGATCCACTCCTAGCAATTGTCCTAGCTCTCTTTGCATTCATTTGCAGATTTCCCAGGACCTTTAGAAAAGGCCCTCACCACCTCTCCACTTCCTTGGACCTAACCAGTCAAAATGTACAACTTACCCAGACATTTTTCTCTTTCTTCTCTTCTCTCTTTGGCTAGTCTTTGTCTCTCATCTGATTTTAAAAATCCATCCATACCTGTAAGAGAGAAAACATAATGATTTTAAGTTCTTCACTCTTCCCCTATGAACACACACCTTGGGTCTGGCTGCACACACATCATCCACTGTTGCTTCTTCATTTGAAGCAGAGTATCTATCACGCCCCCCATGCACATATACAACCAATCCCCAACAGCTGTAGAGCAGTAGCTATGGCTTCCATGAGTACCTGCCAAGCCATGCTATAGTGGTTCCAACACCAGCGTGGGAGGACAGAACCCTTTCCCTAATCCTTTGTTCCCAGGTCTGACCCTGGAAGGGTCTAAAAGTGTAGTAAATGACAGACAAATCAGAGAGACCGTGCAGAGATGCTCACCAAACCTCTCCCAGCCTTGTTACCAAACCTGAGGGGGAGAGGAGAAGCATAAAAATGTACAAGACTTTGGATACCAATTATTACACAGATATGAACATTTTATTTTCTGGAAAGAGCCAACTGCTAAGGGACACAAGAGTGTTTCTCAGGAGAGCACTGTAACTCTCATGTTCAATTTCAATTCTGCCAAATTTGCTCTGATGTCAATCTTAGTATCTAAGAATCACAAAGAAGAAAGGAAAATAATGGGATATTCCTGTTGTCATTCAAATATCTACAACAAATAAAATGGAACAAAAGACAGTGAACCCCCCCCCCCCAAATTCCAGGAAATATCCTTAGAGTTCTACATCTCTACCCATCCCCTACAGGACCCTAAGGAGCTTTTATTCTTTTTTCTTTTTTTTGGAGGGTGGGGGAGGAGGTAACTGGAGATCAAACCCAGGGGTGCTTAACTACTGAACCACATCCCTATCCCTTTTTATTTTGAGACAGGGTCACACTAAATTGCTTAGGGCCTTGCTAAGTGCTGAAGCTGGCTATTCCTGTCTCAGCCTCCTGAGCTGCTGGGATTATAGACATGCACTCCACCGTGCCTGGCTCCTAAGAGGCTTTCTAAATTAAAGAGTAAATGGATCTTCATGACTGTTTTGAAATTAGAAATAATTGCATTCTGTTACAATTGGTTATTCATGAGTATTTGCTACATGATGTTTAAGCCTATCATTCTGGAGAAATTGGCTTTAGTGCTAATGTTACCACATTCCCATTCCCAGTGCCTGGGCCTTCTTCTCTGGGAGCACCAACTGACTTCACACTATGCTTTGCTGCCATAGCAACCTCAGCTCTTTCCAGGGAGGCTCTTGCTGTTTGATGTCCAGAAGGGGGGACTGGAAGCTTGGCCTGCTGTGGAGGCAGTGGAAATACAGATGGTGAATAACATAGCTAACACTGGGTTGTCAAAATTCCCTGTATGAGTCTAATTTTGCGGGCTGTAGGTCTAGTTTTAAAATTTAGTTTAATTTTATAAGTACTGGGGATACTAAAATTTAAGAGAGAAGTACTAGAAAATCAACCCTGGACTTAAATTGCTATTCTCCATGTTTGTTCTTAATCAATTCTTAATTATGAAGTTCCCAACATTATGACCATTACAAATTTAAAGGCCCAACATCTTACATCTCAAACCATTCCAGCCCCCGCCCCCCGCCTACACCCAATATGACTCTCTTTTCCTAACTTGACCTCGGGACTACCTTCTGGCTTATACCATTCCTTCTCCCACTCCCACCTGTTTAAACCACACCAACTTTCAAGACCCCACCATTCCCAAGACCCATGATGCCCCATGCTCCCACAGTTTGTGAAGTCCTAGTTTCATCCTCCTTCCCCACAGAGATCTCTCTTCTATAACTTGTTTTCCTCACTACCTGGTGGCTCCAAGTGCACATGCAATGCTCCAAAGACAGGCATGAAGTCAAGGGCAGAGAGATAAAGTCAAGTTTTTCTTTTCTCTAAACACTTTCAGATTCTAGTTCCTACATCAAGAATTTCATTAAGAATTTATGTAAAAAGCTACAAAGAAAAGCCTAGAATGTGTGGACAGATGTTTCCTTTAGCACCCACATCAACCTCCATACCCAACTAGAACCTGAACCTTGCTCCATACTACCCACACCACCTTCTTGATATTGGGCCTGCCCTATCTCTAATGAAAGTGTTCTTCAAGCAGGCCAAAAAGAAAGAAAAATGGAGAAGAAAAAGGACCAAATGTTCCATAGATATGCATGGTTTTAGGCTGCCCCCTTGTGGGTACCTGTAAGAATCACATCTTCAAGTCATATAAGTAGTGTCATCATAAAAGGAGGTGACAATGTAACAGTTATTATGGACCAAGTGCACTGCCTGAATTTACTGGGCCCAACCACGCTCTGGTGATAGAGGTACTATTATGATCCTCATCTTATTGGGGAAGAAACAGAAGCACAGAGAGGTTAACTAATTTGTCCTAGGTAGCACCATCAGAAGTAGAGAAGCCAGACACCAAAGCAAGAACCTTACTCCAAGAACCACACTTCTTTTTTTGAGGTGCATCACTGGGTCACACAGGAAACAAATATTATCCTGATCCCAAGAATGAGCTTGAAAACCTTAAGAGCAGAATGTGAGTCTAACTCATTAGAGAAGCATGAAAAAGGCAGTTCTATGAGCCAAGCATGGGCACAGCTAGGCACAGATGCAGTGAATGGACAGGCAGGCTAATTATTTGCTTCTTCCTCAAACTGATTATTTGGAAATGTTTGCTCAGCAATATTGTAGAGGCTGATGATGGGTGGGAAACTGGGATAGCCTGAGGACCATGGGGACAGTTGTAGGCTTCTCCTTGCTCATGCCAAGCAAATCAGCTTTGCCCCACTAAAGTGGGTAGAGTGACTCAAACAACCCAACATAGGCAACTTAGAATCTCTGTGCTGTCCATTTGTCATCCACATGCCACACATGGCTGTTTAAATTTAAAATAAAAGTAAATATGAGGGCTGGGGTTGTGGCTCAGAGGTACAGCACTTGCCTGGCATACATGAGGCACTGGGTTTGATCCACGGCACCACATAAAAATAAAATAAAGGTACTATGTCCACCTACAACTACAAAATAAATGTTTTTTTTAGAGAGAGAGAGAGAGAGAATTTTAATATTTATTTATTTTTTAGTTATCAGCGGACACAACATCTTTGTTTGTGTGTGGTGCTGAGGATCGAACCCGGGCCGCACGCATGCCAAGTGAGCGGGCTACCACTTGAGCCACATCCCCAGCCCTAAAAAATAAATGTTTAAAAAAATAAAAATAGGAGCTGGGGTTGTGGCTCAGATGTAGCGTGCTCGCCTAGCATGCATGAGGCACTTGGTTCAATCCTCAACACCACATAAATATAAAATAAAGATATTGTGTCCATCTATGACTAAAAAATAAATATTTTTAAAAAAATAATAAATAAATAAAAATAAATAAAAACTAAATATGAGCCCAGGTCCTCAGTCATGCTGGGTATATTTCAGGCATTCAATAGCTACATGTAGCTGGTAGCTACCATAATGCAGTGCTAAAGGAGAAGCATGGAAGCTCATTTTTTGATTCTCTCCTTTCACATTTAGATGCTCTGAGGCAAATATGAAAAAGGAAGATCTGAATTCAATCAGGGTTGGGTTTTGCTGGCTGAGGTGGGCCTGCTCCTTTCCTCCACCCAACATCTGTCTCTTCTGTTTTCAGAGTATCAAGCAAACACTCTAAGAACATCCTTTCAAAGATGAATCAAATAATTAACTTGCATCCCCAGTTTCCACCCTCTAACTATCAGTGACCCTCCAGAGGATGTCAAGAGGGCCCTAGATTCATCCTAAGGCACAAACCAGAAGGCCATGGACTTCATCAATTATTACCACTATCAAAACATAGCCAAATGTAAATTACAGGAATCCCAAAAGACTATCATGAACACTAACACCAGAGATGACTTCTGAAGACACAATATACCCAAAAGTTAATGCTGAATTCAGTGCCACAAGGAAGCCTTTATGTGTGGCCTGAAATCCTCAAGTTTAAATTTTCCTACCCAATAGTCCTCTATCCCATGTGCCTTGTACATGTTCATTTATTGTGTGTGTGTGTACGTGTCCTTTTTTTTTTTTGTGGAGCTGGGGATGGCACTTATGGTCTCACATGTGCTAGGCAAGTATGCTACCCCTGAACTACACCCACAGGTTGTTTCTTTAAAAAAAAAAAAAAAAACAGGACCTAATTTTATACTTGAGTCCCATGAGAACAGATGGAAAACAGAGCCACGCTCATCAGGGATTGAGCAGGTAGGGGCAAGAGGAAGTGGGGAGCTATAAAGGGCATCAGGAGGGGTCCCACTGGTGATGGAAATATCTTGCCTATATCAATGTCAATACCCTGGTTGTGATACTGCACTATAGTTTTGCAGGGCATTACCATTGAGGAAATTACGTATAAGTTACATGGGATCTCTGTGTGACATTTCTTATAACTAGAGGCGAATCAATAATGACCTCAAAATTTTAAAAAATTAATTATAAAAAAGAACCCCCCCCAAAAAAAAACCCTGGCACAAATGTGAAGCCCTGGGAGGGACCCAAGACAAACAGAGTTCAGGGGACACTCTAGCTGAGGAACCCTACCTAGAAGAAGAATGAGGGTGCTCACATCAGGACCATCCCTACCCCACTCTTGATGCAATAACGCTTCCCAGAGCAATAGTCTTCAGGTAAATGTGTACCTCTGAAATAGAGGCCTTTTTCTCCATTTAATTCTATCATAGGAAATTAAAAACAGGAATACTGAGCAGCTAAACAACTATTTTATATTTTTAAAAAACAGCATAAAATCTCATACTTCACTGATTTGCCCTTCCTTAGCATAACTTCCCATTATCCGTGGGCTGCAGCAACACATTGAAAAAGACTAATTTAAAAATGAATTTTATTAGCCTGAAGCACTCTACTATTAGAATATTAATGAGCTGATATTAGTCAATTATTCATGGTACTGGTAAGAACCATTACTGAAATACCGTTTTAAGGAGAACCAGCTGTGTTTGACTTTTAAAAATTAATTGCATCAATTTTAAAACAACCTCCCCAAT